CCATCCATCCATCCATCCATCCATCCATCCATCCATCCATCCATCCATCCACTCATCCATCCATCCACCCACCCATCTATCCATCCATCCATCCATCCATCCATCCATCCATCCATCCATTCATCCATCCCTCCTTTACTTTGTGGTCTCTATTTACATTAGGGTACATTACTTAGGGACCTACCCCATGGCCAGTCTGACACTGGACATAACTAGTCCTGCTTTCCTGAATCTAGGAGAAAGATCATCAGCATCAGGGTTTCCTCCTCAGAAACCTCAGAGTTCTTGAGAGACACACCCAAGTGTTGGCTGCATTGAAGACACTCATGAGGTCCAGACAGAGCTCCATGGAGGAAGTATATGAATTCAGTACTGCAAAGGGACAGAGGGAAAACAAGCAAAATCTCTGTGGCTTGGAATCATGTGGCACGGGGCTGACATGCAGGGCAGCCAGAGGCAGGGGTAGGACCTGGTTTGGTTGGCCCTGCAACAGTAAAACGGATGGAACACCCAGAGCATCAGGTTAAAGTCTGAGCTCCTCCCTCTGAGATGCTTGATTGGGACGATCCTTGGGTTGACCCGAGTGCCTAGGCAGTTAGCCCACCTCAGAGTGTGTCCAGGAGGCTTAATCAGGTTCTGAAGACCTAGCTCCAGTGAGGTGGCCGAGTATAGCTGCTCCACAGTGTCATAGACCAGGTTCGAGTAAACAAAAGCAGGAGACCCCTCCAGCCATCTCCGTCTTTGTCTCTGTCTCTCTCCTTCCTGGCTGCCAGGAGGTGAACAGTTATCGTCCTCTGTTGGTTTCTGCCTTCACAGTCCAAGAGCCGACCAGGGACAGAGACCATGAGACCTTCCTGCCCGGAAGTTGTTTCTCCATTGCTCAGTTGTGCAGATGAAAACTGAGGAGTGCATAGTGCATTCTTTGGGTGTCATTCCAGGATGTCCCCACCTCAGCCATCTCACACCTCCTCCCCACCACAGCCTGCTGGAAACAGGGCACAGAACCTCAGGGAATGGCGGAACCCCATTCACCTCCAAACTTTAATAAACAGCGTTCTGATAAGGCCATGTAACCAGCAGTACCATGATTCAACGGCTGGGGAGAAGTCAAGGCTTCTTTTATTCCAAGTTATGGGTGTGCCCCTGTTTGGCACAGCATCCTCTAGATTCTAGAGTCTAGAATGTTCTACCCACAGATTCATCCCCTGCCACTCTCAGGTTGCACTGGTCAGTCACGATTCAATGGCATGTACAATCCAGCTTGCCTCTGGGCAGCCACCTCAGAGCTTGACCTCTTCATCTCCCTCCACCAGCACGGACCTCATAGACCCCCTTCCAGCCAGTCTTCCCTCACCTCCCAAGACTGGCTCTGAGACAGGAGACCCTGCTCTGCCCAGCACATAGTCATTATTCTTATTTGATGTGTGTCCCAGCCAACAAAGTCAAGTTCATGGCCATCTGTCCGCACTTTCCTGGGATCAGCAGGTTCAAGTGAGGTGAGCCGGAGCCAAGCGGGCCTTCAGTTGACTGAGGAAAAAGCACACCCGTGTCTACAGGCAGCACCAATAAGTAACAGAACAGGCTTAAGCAGTTGGCAACTGACCTGAACATGCCCCTTAATCTCTGCCTCATGTACATGAATGAGGGACGCTGGCCTCCTCCATCCCTTCTGAATGAGCACCTTCGCCCCAAGTGTTTACATCATTAATTCGTAAGGTCTGGCGTTCGTGGGCACTCCAACTCAATACCTTTTATGATACAATTACTACTCAGAGATGAATTTTTTTTATGAGTTTCCTTTTCACGTCTCCAGGGCCCTTTATTCTTGGGAAATCTTGTGGAGAGGGATCGCCTCTCTTTCAGTGAGGACTTAAAGCTCCTGCTTCACCAGGCACTTCTGTCTAGTTGGTGCCTCTTGTACAGGCACCTTCTTTGCCCAAATGCACAGGGAGACCCAGCCCCCTTAGGGCGGGCAGCAACATAGATTTGTAGACACAAGAACAGGTTCAGATGCCTATGCCAGCACTTGAGAGCTGGGCAACCCCCAGCCAGTGACCCGACTTCTTGGAATCTCCATCACTTGAGAGCTGGGCAACCCCCAGCCAGTGACCCGACTTCTTAGAATCTCCATCTTGTAAACCCCCAGAAATCCAGAGCCACCCAGCGGCTTGCTTCTAGACGGGCTTGGAGAATGGGATGAAAATGTCTCTGATAGGCAACTGGAACAGAGCTGGCCCTGTGGACGACCTGCTTTTCAGAAAAACAAATCTCACAGAGCAGACTGGCTTAAATGCACCATGTAGCAGAGGATGACCTTGAACTTGTGGCCTTCACCTCTCTGTGCCAGGATTACAGGCCTGAGCCATCATGCCTGATTTATGTGGTGCTGGAAACAGAACCTAGGATGTCGTGTGTGCTAGACAAGCACTGTACCAACTGAGCCACATCCCCAGGCTGGAATGTCTGTTGTTATGTGATGAAGACATTTTACTCAGAGGATTGAAAGTAGAGAGGGCCTAGACAGGTCAAGGAGATCAAAGTCCTCCCCAGGTCAGAGTTCCCCGGCCTCTGCACCGCTCACATGCACAGATAATAGAACACAGCACTAAACGGAGTCACTGTTCTTGACCCTATCATTCACTGAGTGGCAATGGAGCTCAGAGGGATGCAATGCAGGTCCTAGGTACCCAGTGCCCCTGAACTGTGAGATGTGTGACCTCTTCTTCCAGGCTTTGTCTATGGTACCCACGGTGTGAGGCAGGGGTGTCCCCACAACCAGAAGGAAGGAAGACGGTGGGGGAGGGACCTTGAAAGGGTGAGACAGCTGGGGTCAGATGCGGACCCTCTCCTTCCTAGTCTCTTACATGGGACCAAATGTCTTCACTGTCCTTGTTACAGGCGTCATTCAAGTTCTGGATAGGGAGAGACAGGCTTGGGGCCCCACTGCTCGGCCCACAGCCTGACAGTCTCTGTCCTCCACTGCACAAGGCCCAGAGAAACTCCTACCCATCCTTGCGGGCCAGTTTAAATAGCCCGTCTTCAGGGAAGATTTCCCGGAACGTTGAAGGTGGATGGTTTTTCTTGTAAAATCCCCTCCCGACTTCCTAGAAATGTTTTCTTTCCTTCACTCTCTCTCTGTTGCTCTCTATTGACTCCCACCTACTTGTTCTTTACTTATCAATCTATCATCTACCTGTGTAACTACTTTCTTCTCCCTATTCATTCTTTTCATGGTAAAAGCTATATTATTTATATTATATATATTATGAAAACCCAGGATGAGGAAAACCGTCCTTAATCTACCAATGGGTACTGCTGTCCCTCTGTCTTCACCTGTGACTGGCCTTTTGGTGTCTGCCTCCCTGGCTAGATGGTAGACTTGGTGAGGAGAGGGAGTTTGTGACTATGTGTTCCTTTCTGAGTCTTTAAGGGTAGCGGGGAACATGACACAGAATACATGTGCAGTGTATCGTCCTTGAATAGCAGAAGGCATAAAGGAAGGATGGGAGAACAGTAGAAAGTGGGTAGATGGATGGATAAATAATAAATGGGGATGGGTGGATGGGTGTGGGGGTGCATGGATAGGTGAATGAGTTGTAAATGGGTTGGTAGATAGATGGGTGAATGGTGGATGGTTAGATACATAGGTGGATGGTTGGGTAGATGGATGGTAGGTGGATGAGTGTGACTGGGTGGATGGGTAGATGAATCAATAGATAAGTGAATGGGTAGATGGATGTTTAGGCCAGTTGATGGATAGCTCAGGGTATAGATGGGTGAGTGGGTGGGTGGGTAGGTGGATACACCAGTGGGTGGGTGGGTGGATGGATGGATGGATGGATGGATGGATGGATGGATGGATGGATGGATGGATGGATGGGTAAGTGAGTGGATGGATGGGTCTGTAGGTATGTGAGTAGATGAATATATAGGTGTGTGTAGGTATGTAGGTGGATAGGTGAACAGATAGGTATATGGACGAGTATGTGGACAGGTAGATGGGGAGATGGGTGGTGGGTAGATGGATTGATGGATGGATGGATGGATAGATTGATGAATGGATGTGTAGGTGTGTAGTTGGATGGGTGAGTGTGTGGGTACCTAAGTGGGTGGATCATAAGTTATGGTATTGAAAAATCCTTGGCTCTCTTACCCTTCTATGGCCTCAAGAAACATTCCTGAAGCTGAGCATAGTAGCACGTGCCTTTAATCCCAGTACTTGGGAGGCCAAGGAAGGCAGATCTGTGTGAGTTCTAAGCCAACCTGGTTTACATAGTAAGTTCCAGGACAGTTAAAGGTACATAGTGAGACCCTGTAAAAAAAAAAACAAACAAACAAAAAAAAAAAACCGAAAAGAAATTTGTAGCATGAATCCCAGTTGGTCTTATAATAAAAACCTGGAGTCAGATGTAGGGGTGAATGCTGAAAGATCAGAGAGACAGAGGAGTGAGCCATGGCCATTTCTTACCTCTACTGAATCCTCAGCCTGAAAGAGAAGATCCTATCTCCATGAATCCACAGACTGAATGCCCCTGAGTCCTCAGCCAAAAGGAGCGCCGAACTTGTCTCCTCCCATCTTATATTCTTTTCTCTGCCCAGCCATATCACTTCCTGTATCACCCTTCCTAGTGCTGAGATTAAAAGCATGTGACTCTCAAGTACTGGGATTAAAGGTGTGAGCCACCACTGCCTGGCTATTTCTCTTTTAGACTGGATTAATCTCATGTAGTCCAAGATGGCCTTGAACTTACAGAGATCCATCTGCCTCTGCCTCCCGAATGCCAGGATTAAAGGTGTGCACCACCACTGCCTGGCCTGTGTGGCTAACTCCGTGGCTGGCTCTACCCTCTGATCTTCACACAAGCTTTAGTTGTTAGAGCATATACAAAGTACCACCACAGAAATTCTGGTGAGACTCAACCCTGTGGTGCCCTTTGGCAACCCTGTTCCCAGGCAGGACCTTCCTGAGCTGACATGTGTCAATGAGCAGCGGTTGGTGTCCAATCAACTCTGCCCTGGACCCTTCAGCACCAGCGGATCCCAAGCCTGTGGTCACTGGGTGGGGTGGCAGCCTGTCATGGAAACTTCAATTTCTGTTTTGTAAAAACAGCTCTGTAAGCTGCATGCTCATCCTGTGAGTCATCTCCACCCAGGCACAAGAACAATCCCGGGCTTCTCCCTGAGTCTTTGGCTGGCACAGTCGTGCCCCCCCTCCCTCCAGTATCCTGCTGTGCTGGGTCCACATGGACTCAGGAGCCCACGGAATAACTCGGGAGCACACATCAAACAGTGAGACCAAACAGTGTAGAACAAATGTAAAAGTCCTTAGGTCTTAAAGGCTACGAACAAATTCAAACATTTGTGTTTGAAGCACTGCATGGCCTGTACCAGCTCGCCCAGGGATGCCTGTGGCCACAAGGTCACCTGTGTGGCCTTAGCTGTTTATCTTATAGGAGTCCAGACCTGGAGACCCTTCGAATTCTGCTGTCCCTGTGGATGGGGCCTCTCTGCACCTCTGTGTCACAAGTGCATGAATAGTGTGAAACAGCCATTTCTAGGTGTATTCTCCGCTTTAGTTAATGTCTTGGTAAGACAGACAGACACAAAGCCATCCCTGGACAGAGATGTGAGCCCAGCCGCATCCACCTGGAGCGCCTCCACCCTTCTTCCCTGTCATGTCTGGCGGTTGTGAGCACCGATGCTTCAAATGGGCTGAGTTCTTTCTCATCCGGGCTCTGGGGATTCTTCTGGCTCCCCCAGCCCTTAGGTGACCCATGCCCACGGCAGACAGTCGTGACTTCACCTCACTGTGAAGACAAAAGGTGCAGACGTCAGGCGCATTCTCAGCCATCCTCGCCTCTCATTCAGTCCATGGTCCAGGTGGTTATTCACAGCCACCCAGCTGCCCTGTGTTCCTTAAACGCCCATTTGGAGCTGAGCGGTGGGCGGGCATTGCAGCCTCCGTGGCTAGTGAAGCAGTGGCTCCGGGAAGACTTGGAGAGGAGGCAGCTCTTCTGAGGTCACACAGCTGGGCAGGGACTCCAGCCTCGAATATCTGTCCTTGCAGCAGGAATGCTGCCCCTCAGGCTGCAATGGGAG